TAAAATTCAAAAAATATTTAAATTTAAAATTATCATATTTTTATGAGTGTAAATTCTTATAAATATGAGATTTAGAATTTTTTTCTTTTATGTGAGATTTTAATATAATTCTTTTACTTAATTATATAAAATTTATGTTTCATAGTTTTTTTTTTTAATTTAATTTTTTGCCTCAAACTTTGAATGATAACATTATTATTATGTTAATTTTATTAAATTTTAATAATATTTATTATTTATTACGTCATCCGATTCGACCCCGGTTAGACCATTTGAACCGGTCGAACCGTGAACCTCTCCTTTTTTCGGTTAGTTGTCCGGTCCGGTTTTCACAGCCTTGTGTTTTCTTGCATCTACTAGTGGAAACCTTGTTTCTTTTCCTTATTTTTCTCTGTTTGGGTGCATTTCCTGCTGCGGAGCTGCTGTAAAACTGCTGGGACAGCAGTTTTGCTCACTGTTTTGGGCTGATTTTGACTAGGGTTGCTTGCGAACTCAAGTATTACCTTAGGGTTACTTGCGAACTCAAGTATTTCCTACCTAATTATATTTATGCTATTTAGGAAGTGTTTAATAGTTTAGAAAGGTTTCCATAAATATGGTTAATTGTTTAGGAAGGTTTCCTAAAATGTGTTTAACTGTTTAGGAAGGTTTCCTAAATTATGTATAATTGTTTAAGAAGGTTTCCTAAATCATATTTAATTATTTATGAAGGTTTTATAAATCTTGTTTAAATTATTTAGGAAGGTTCTATTTACGATTAGGTATTCTAGGGCTATTTAAGGGGGAGTTTCTAGGGTTTAGGGAGGCGATTGTTGAGTTTTTTGTTTTGCTGTAGTTTTCTTCTTGAGGGCTTCCTAGCGACGTCTAGGTTGTTTGGGAGAACCGATCTACTTATATAATTGTAGATCACTTGTATCTTGCCTTTGCTTTGAAGCTATAATAAAATATTAGTCATTGTTTGGAGTATTTCTACAATTTTTCTCTTATTCTATTGTTGTTTTCTTTTCGGCAGCGTATCAAACTCATGACAAAGATTATCAAAATTTTAGTTGATTTTCATGCCACATTTCACCATATTGGAATTCATTTAATGTTCATATTCTTTGAAAAAAAAAGCATTTGTGTTTCTCTTCTTGATCCTTTAACTACTCTACATGTTGTTCCTTTTCATTGCTTTGGGTAAGATTGTTAAGTAATGTAGTTCCTTTTAAGCTTAGATTTAGGCTTTGTTTTAATAAAAATTAGGATATATTATATGATTAGAATGAATATTGTAGATTTTATTTCATGATTAAAAAAAATAATTCAAGGAGAATTTACAATAAATTATTCGGACTAGGTTGCCCTAATATCAATAAACTATTAATTTTATGCCTTAATTTATGTGCTTTTAATTAATTGAGAGCATGTATTGTGTAAAACCTCTGAATTTATTTCCATCTAGCGTGACTTGATTGGATCTCTATTAAATTGGAATTTCACAACATTCACTTCAAGACAAGTAACTTTAATTAACTAGAGGATAAAATTATACTCAACTTCATTCGGGTGTTATTTTTGAAATTTATATTAGATTCTTGGATTTTTTGTATCTTTTCAACCTTATCTTTAATGCTCCATTATTGTTTTTACATATTTTCGTAGATTTCTTTTAATGCTCATATTAAAATGTCACATTATGTAGATGACTTTACCTCATTTAGTTGCAGTGTAAATTCTTAAATAATTCATATAAAAAAATTATTTCATGCACATTATCTCTGTTGAATATAACAGTTCTTATTCCTATAAATCACATTTATATTATAAAGCTATCACTAGTCAAACTGATTATAAATACTTCTTAATATTTGTTTTTAATGTATGTATTATAATGACTATTTTGAAAATCATTGAATTTCAACAGACTACTGCTTCCCTTCCCTATTTTAAGGTGTCTTAATAAAATTGAATATATATATATATATATATATATATACATGTATAAAGATGATGATGTAATAAAGGAATTACGAGTCATCTTTTAATTTATCTAATGTATAATTCATCTTAAAACCATGTGATAACTTCATATTCATGAGATGAAATATTATTCTAAATTGATAATATGATCCGTTTATTTAATTGCCATTACATAATAAATGGTGCTTCTTTTATTGTTCAAGCTTCATGCCATAATACATTACCATTTATGCTTTCATAAATAGGATTTACTTAATAGGTTTGAATTTCAAACCAGTCCATTATAAAATTTTTCATCTAACAGGTTCTAACAAGTTGCTTGATAGATTATAATTATAAAAGTAGACTTTTCAACAATAGCTAAGTTGATGCTTGAGTTTATGTTGCACTTTGTTTCTGTACTTACATTGGATTTGGATAGTCTTTACTTATGTAGTTGTTCTTCCAGCTTCTTATCTATTAGTTGTTGAGTTTCCCTATTGAATTATTATTAAGATTCCATTGATGCAATAAAACATTGTTTACTTTCTTTTGCTAACTCTTACAACTTATAACTACATATATATGAAATTTTCTTTTTTGAGTACAAAAGATGTTTAATTGATCTTGGCTTTCAAATTTAATTTCAAGAGGTAAGGTAAATTCCTTCTTCTTGCCACGATGTACCGCCTTTCAAGTCTAGGGCATTCCCGACAATTGTGACTTTAGAGTGAAAATGCTCATATTGAAACTTAGTAATATGCCCCATGCTTTGCAGTAAGCCAGCTGATTAATGGAACAAAACTAAAATGAATAAGTAGCTATTCTATAATGAATCCTTCGTGTTGTAATGAATTCTAGCTGCATGCACTTAAACAAATGGTAGAATTTCAACAGGAAAAAGTGATAGCATATGAATCAAAAGACATAAACAAAGCCCTACTCTGATAAAATTAACAAGCAATGAATATTCAAAAGTCATCTAGCAAAATAAGAAACCACAACCAATCAATATTAATAACAGAAAATATTAAGATATATTGGGAAAATGAGTGAGGAGGGAAAAAAGGGTAATCAGGTTTTGAGGTCATAAGAAAAGGTCATATCTATGTTGGCTAAGTTATGACAGATAATAGTCTAAGTTTTATTAGGTTGAACCTGGCACATCAATGGCTGCAGCATGGTACTTCCGAAAATCTTCCTTCCCCTTAGCTGAGCGGCTACCAATGGTGACACCAAAGGTAGATCCACGTGGATAGCCACCAATAAATGCTTCTGGAAATACAACCAACTGAGATCCATAAGAAGCAGCCTCTGCGACGAGCCTGTCAGCTTTATCTACAAAGATGAATCTACATTTCGTTACCATTCCTGATAATTTGTGTATTTACTCAGAAAATTTGCACTAGACACGCTTATATTCCTGTTCAATGTTTTTACACCTGAAAAAAAAAAAAAATGAACACTATTTTTTCATTATTACAAAAGGAACATTCATATTTGTTGGAAGTCCAAGAGCTTCAACATTCCTATAGGATTTCAGTATTAGAAATTAAAACATCATTAAATGTTATTAGAGATTCTGTTCTACGATAGGTAGCTATTTATTAATTCATATATAGCTTATAATATTAGCTTTTCAAGAAATAAAGCAATCCACATGCTTTAAACTTTAAGATATCTATGTTTAAAGAAAATAATAGAACAAAAGAACACAGGGCATACCCTAAGATAGACCATGAACAAACTAGGAAAACAAGTGAACTCGCTAACTTATAAAAAAATAATCATACAGTGTTCCTAAGGAATTTGAAATATAAGACATGATGGGCCGACAAATTATTACAAGACAAAAAGATCACTGCAAGAAGTGTTTCTTTTACCATTGGATTCATTTTGAGATTTGAGCATTTTATAAAATCTTGCGAAGTGCACAAATCTTTATGAATAGCACAAATTCCAAAGTAAATCTAATTATAGAAAACAATTCCTCATATGAACTTTTGTGAGTAATTCCTTCGAAATTCCATTCATGATAGCAGCCCCCAAAGCTTATCCAAACTTCATCATTATAGAGCTTGCACTTAAAAATCAATCCTTTCTTATAGCTTTCCTACAATTGTCACTCAAAAAAATTGTTGCTAATACCTTAGAATTTACTAGGCCCCAAAGAAGCTTAAAATCAACAGCTTCCAACAAAAGGATCTTCCAAACCATCGCATGAAAGATAGAATTCCTTAGCATAATTTTTGAGATACAAACTGAAAAAATACCAACAGAGACACAAATACACAAGAAAAAAAAAAGCATCTCAAGCTTCATTCAGTACAATTGAAAAAGCTATTAGGCTAAAAGTAGGATTTAGTAATGCCTGGAGGTTTTAAATCATGAAATTATTTAAAATGAAAGATATTATATCTAATTAAATTATAATGAATTATTTAACTGATATTTTCTAGATTTTAAAGTTTAAATGAAATGAAAGAAAAAGACAGCAACCAAAAATGATATAAATCTATTAAATCCTACTTCTTCTAGGATTTACTAATCCAAAATATAGTTAAAATAGGAGGAAAATAAAATTTATGAAGAATATTACATTTACATGGTGGCAAAATTAAGCCTAAATTCCTGAAGATGCATAAGTAGTTAAGTACATTCATATGGTATTACATATGCAAATGAGAAATTTCTAAGCTTACTTTCTAAATAAATCAGAAATACATTTAATTTAAACAAGAAATAAAGGGAGCCATTTATACCAATGGTTGCGGATGTGTCGTAGAAGACAGTGGATGCCTGGACGACGGTGGCGCGGACAATGACGGAAGAGGGATCGGAGCCGCCGCCCATGTCGACTTCAGCAATCAGAGGGGATCCAACGGAGCTGGATGCCGGGACGACCGCCATGGGAGTATCTTATCTGTGGCACAGAACTAGCGGCCGTAGCCGTATTTCTTGCGGAGGTATTCGCGAACGAACTCGTCGCGGGCAAGGGTACGTTCCCGCTGGGATTCGATGTTAGCGTAGGAGAGGTGGACGCCAACTGAAAAGAGGGTCACTCCGGTGGAAAAGAGGAGCAGCGTCGTCGCCGCTTGCTTTGTTGTAGACGGAGAGCACCAGCCCATCCGTTGAGCTACAGCGCGTTTGGCGGTCTAGTTTACTTCATTCTCCTTCGACTCCAATTTATACGGCTCTGTACAAGGATGCCAAAAATGTTATATTTATTGTTGGATTTTTATATCATAATATAAAATGAGGAAATAAAAAATAGAATTTTTAGAAAATTAAATTAAGACATTCTCAATATTAATTTTCTTATTAAATATCTTTAAAATATGAAATGAAGAAAACTTTACCGAATAATTGATTGAGATTTGAGATCTTCTTCGTCGAAACGTTGATTGAGATCGTAAGCCTTCTTCTTCTAATCACCCCACCAAATACATTTTAGTGAGTGGGCACAATCAATCAATTATTGATGAACACTTTTTCGTTTGAATCTAATTTGTGTTCTAAACACAATTTAATCTTTCAAGAGAAAAGACAATGAGAGCAATATTCTTTTCATACATATTCATCCATCTCTCATGAAGGAATCATGCATCATCATCATTTTCATGTAGAACTTAATTCTTATTTATAAGAAAAGTTCACATCTTTTCATAAGCACCTCTTAGTATTTCATGAAGCATTTTTAATAAATATTAAAATGATAATTATCATGACACATCATCAATCTTATCATTAATCTTATCTTTATCTTTTTAATATTAAAATATATTTGATGATAATTATCATGACACATCATCAATCTTATCATTAATCTTATTTTTATCTTTTTAATATTAAAAGATATTTGATGATAATTATCATGACACATCATGACTTATCATCAATCTTATCTTTATCTTTTAATATTAAGAAAATATTAATGATGAGCCATCATTATCTTCATAAAAAATAAAATAAAAAGGTGATCATAAATGTGTTACTAATGTGATCATAATTAACATTTATATTATGTCACATTCTTAGTGTTCAATATATAATAAAGCTTAGGTGATGAAGAATGGACCTATGGACCTATAATTCAAGCTCGGATAAATTTGATTATTAATTTAACTCTTAAATTAATAAATCAAAATTATTAATTTCAACATTATTCTACTATAAATATGAAATTGCACTCTTGAAATTATAATATAATTTACTCAATTAAAAAATTGAATCGTCCATTGATTTAATCATTACATATAAAATAATCCTACATAAAAAGTTCATAATTAGAGCTAGGTAATTCTATCACCTCACTAATTATATCTTGATCATTGAATTCCAATTAATTCTCTAATGAACAATAAACTTTGTGACCTCGTCACAAAATTTGAGCGCTCAATTGTTCAAGTTATGAATTAATTATTCAAGGGAACTAATTTTCTAACTTTCAAAATTGAAAGGAATGGATTCCATATATGTATATTAACATTCCCAGCCATTTGTTTCATTGTGTTTCTGAAATACAAGGATTGAGTTTATTTTTTCCAAACTATCTCCGAGTAAATCAAAAAACTAAATGTCACAAATAGGAGTTTATTAATAAATCAGGATTAAGATTATTTTATATATGATCATCTTTATGATTAATTTTAAAGTCTCTATAATTAAAATAAAATATATTAGAGAATTCAAAATTTATCTGGTCCAGTTCTGTATAATCATATTATATAAAGTACCTTCATCCTTAATATCTCCATATCGAATAATCTGGATAAGATTATTCCATTCTTAATGTTGATGGACCGTACTAATAATATTTAATTAAAGATTCCAACTATAATTAATAATTATGAGCTTGTTTTGATTATTATCCATAATTCAATCCTCTTGTATATAATTATATACTAAATTATGGTTACATAAATAATCATGGAACAAAAATATTATATCAAATGATAATATCAAAATATGCTAAACTTGTCTTTAAATATTTATTTCCATAGAAAATTTATTACAATAATAGTTCTTTAGGGCATATTCCCTAACAAACTCCCACTTGCCCTAAAGCAAATGAGACATCTTCCTCAATCCCATTTCTAGTACATGTTTCTGAAAAATTCTTTCAGGCAATGTCTTGGTAAAAGGATCAGCAATATTCTCTTGCGATGTTATCTTCTGTACTAATACTTTACCCTCTTTCTCAATCTCTATTATCAAATGATATTTTCTATCTATATGCTTTGCCCTTTTATGATTTCTTGCTTCTTTTGTATTTGATATAGCTGCAATATTATCACAAAATAGTGTTAGAGGTTTTTCTAAATTTGGAACAACTTCCAATTCTATTAGAAAATTACGGAGCCAAACTGCTTCTTTAGCTGCTTCTACAACAGCCACATATTCAGCTTCCATAGTTGAGTCAGAAATACATGACTGTTTTATACTTCTCCAAACTATGGCTCCACCTCTTAAAATAAATATCGAGCCAGTTGTGGATTTACTTTCATCTCTATCTGATTGAAAGTAAACATCAATGTATCCTTTAGGGATCAAATCACTTCCAGAATACACAAGCATATATTATTTAGTTCTTCTGAGATATTTAAGTATATGCTTAACCGCCACCCAATGAAACCTTCCTGGGTTAGCTTGATATCTACTGATTATACCTACAGCATAACAAATGTCAGGCCTTGTACACAACATTGCATACATGAGACTGCCAACTACTGATGCATAAGGCACTTGTAGCATATCATCTTTTTCTTGTTGTGTTTGAGGACATTGCTTTTTAGAAAGATAAACTCCATGACGTGAAGGCATATTTCCTTTCTTAGAGTTTTGCATTCCAAATCTTGTAAGAATCTTCTCAATATATGATGATTGAGAAAGTTCTAATATTTTATTTTTGCGATCTCTTATTAGTTTTATCCCAAGTATAAAACTTGCCTCTCCCAAATCTTGCATTTGGAATTGTTTGGCTAGCCATTTCTTTACGTCAAATAATAATTCATTATTATTTCCAATAAGTAGAATATCATCTACGTAAAGAATTAAGAACACCACTATTTAATTTTTAAAATACTTGTAAACACAATGTTCATTTAAGCTTTGATCAAATCCATAAGATTTATCTACTTCATCAAATCTTATATTTCATGACCTTGAAACTTGCTTAAGTCCATATATAGATCTTTGTAGTTTGCAAACTTTTTGCTCTTGACCTTATATTATGAAACCCTCTAGTTGTTTCATATAAATTCTTTCTTCAAGATAGCCTTTCAAAAAATCCGTCTTGACATCCATGGATAAAATTATACGTATAGATTTAAGCATAACAACTGGAGAGAAAGTTTCATCAAAATCAATACCCTCCTTTTGGTTGTATCCTTTTGCCACTAGCCTTACTTTATAAGTTTCAACTTTTCCATTAGCACTTCTTTTTCTCTTATAAATACATTTACATTCTATAGGTCTTACCTCGCTAGGAAGATCGATAAGTTCCCAAAGAAAATTGATTTACATCAAATCTATTTCAAGTTTCATGGAGTCTAACCATTTTTCTTTATCATGATCCTCTAATGCGTGTTTATATGTTAATGGATCATCATTGTCATCATCAGATGCGACAATATATGCTTCTCCATTAATATTATATTGAGAGGGTAATATAATAACTCTCCCACTACGACGAGGCAATAAAGGTTCTTGATTTAGAGTGGTGGTTTCCTTTTGTTGACTTTCAACAATAGTTTCCGTATCTTTTGTTTGGTTCATTTAGCAATTCTTTGAGTAACACTTTACTCCGAAGTTTGAAATCTTTCATATATTCATGTTCAAGAAAAGTAGCATTTGTCGATATAAATACTTTTTTTTCTTGAGGACTATAAAACAAACCTCCTCTTATACCTTTTGGATGTCCGAAAAAAATGCATACTTCTGAATGTGATTCCAACTTATTAATTTTTGTCTTTAATACATGTGTTGGACATCCCCATATACGGATGTGTCGTAAACTGGGTTTACTCCCACTCCATAATTCTAAAGGTGTCTTATATACTGATTTTGAAGGTACAATAGTCAAAATATACATAGCAGTTTGTATTGCATATCCCCAAAATGAATTTGGTAAGGACGAGTAACTTAACATAGACCTAACCATATCGAGCAATGTTCGATTTCTTCTTTCAGCAACACCATTTTGTTGTGAAGTTGAAGGTGCAGTGAGTTGAGATACAATTCCATTTTCAATTAAATGATTTCTGAATTCTGTATCTAAGTACTCACCACCAAGTTCTGATCGAAGTATTTTTAATGACTTGCTTAATTGATTTTCAACTTCAGCATGAAATTTTTTAAACATTTGAAAATTTTCATATTTTCTTGTCATTAAATAAACAAAACCATATCTTGAATAGTCATCAATAAAAATAACAAAATATTCGTAACTACCTCTTGCTTGTATATTAAATGGTCCACAAACATCTGAATGTACAAGTTCAAGGGTTTCTTTTGCTCTTTCACTTTTTCCATAAAAAAATCTCTTAGTCATTTTTTCTTCTAAACAAGATTCACGGACTGGTAGAGTTCCGACTGTCATTTCTCTTAAAGGACCATCCTTTACTAGCTTTTCAATCCTATTTAAGTTTATATGACCAAGTCTAAGATGCCATAGATATGTGTTATCTTTATATGAAATCTTTTGCCCTTTTTGTTTAGGTTTTTCAACATTGAACATGTCAGTATTAAGCAGTGTGTTTCCAGTGAGTTTTAACATAAAGAATCCATTTTCTATTATTATAGAACAAATATTCAAACCATTATTAGAAATAACAATCTCATTATTATAAAAAGAGAGTCAAAAACATTGTTCAAACAACTTTGAAATAGACACAATATTTCTAAAAAACCCTTGAATAAAATAAACATTATTCAACACTAGATATTTATTTTCAAATTCAAGCCTAACGGCTCCCACTACTTGAGCTAATATAATACTTCCTGTCCCTACTCTCATAATATGTTCTTCACTAGCAAGTCTCCTCCAAGAATTAAGCATCTGCAATGAAGAACATATATGATCATTTGCACCTGAATCAACTATCCAGGATGATAAATTATTTTCAACTAAACATGTTTCAAGAACTAGTAAATCAAATTTACCTTGTTTTTCTTTCTTATTCTCTTTTAGCTC